GACAATATGAGAACTGAGTTTGACTGTCCCAGCCTGACTGGCAATAGTAATCGTGCCATCAGGCAATTGTACAGAACGTGGTGGGATGTCCATAGTATCATGAAAGTATTCTAGAAAACCTGTCATATGGTGCGTGGCACCGCAATCATACATCCAATCAAAGGAACCGCACTTACCAGAAAGCGTAGTATTTTGGCGAGCGGAAGTAACAAGATTGACAATAGATTCCCATTGAGCATTAGACAAACCGGAGATAGCGGTGCGGTCTGACTCACTCAAAACTGGCCCGCTTACCGAACCCGGTGCTCCAGTCGAAGTAGCCGAAAAAACGTTCGGAGCATTCCCGAACACCGCGTGAGCACGTGCTTGGCTGCCCCCGCGTTTGCTACCACCGCGGCTGCCTCCTCGACCGGTCCCGCCCCCGCGCCCGCTGTTGCTGGAGCCCCACCCTTCAGGGTACCCGATCACCTCGAAGCATTTGGCCGCGATATGTCCTGTCTTCCCGCAGCTGTAGCACGTAAGATTTTTCGACGACCGACCGCCACCCGTACCACCGCGATGTACCACAGCCGCAGCGAACGAAGTAGTGCCACCAGGGCTTGGTGCGGCACCCAATACACCTGCAGTGTCGGTCTTGGCAGCGAAGCTAGAGACCTCGATCGGGGTGTGCTCGTGAAGAATTGTCCGCATGCGTTCCTCTCGAACCATCATAGCATAAACCCGATTGAGACTGGGCATGGGTTCTAGGGCTAGCACATGTGAACGTGTCGGGCCGTACAAGGACCCGTCCAAACCCATGAGAAACTGATGGACCTTCTCGTCTTCCCTTCGTCTGTCCCACTCGGTCTGAAGGTCGCACTTGCACCCACCACAACGGCATGTCGGAGATCTTTCATAACCTGCAAGTTCGTCCCAAAGTTTCGTCATCCGACCATAGTAGTTCTCGATGCTACTGCCCGCTTGTTTGCATCCGGATAAGTCGACCTTCAATTGTTGAATGCGGGGTCCGTTGACAGTAGTGTATCGCTCCCGAAGGGCCAGCCATAGATCGAGAACAAAATCAGGTTGAGAAATTGTTGATCGAACCGTCGGTTCGATACTATTCATGACCCAACAAAGCAATAAGTGGTTGTTCGCAAGCCAATCTTCATATAGATCAATCCCCGGCTGAGGCCGAGGAATAGAACCATCGAGAAATCCGAATTTCTTTCGAGCACCAAGGGCTGTCCGCAAACTGCAAGCCCATTCCTCGTAATTTGTATCGCCCTTCAATTGGACGTGAGTGATCAACAAGCCGGGATTATCGGAAGAAGAGATGTCGTAGGGGGAGATGGACCGGCGGTTGACAGTTTCTTTTTCTTGTGTTGTACTTGACGTACTAGAGTCTGCCATCCTCTTTTTTTTTTTTTTTTTTTTTTTTTTTTTTTTTTTTTTTTTTTTTTTTTTTTTTTTTTTGTAAAGCAGAACAAATTTGCCCTAAGGAAAGAAAGTAACCCCTCTGAACAATGTCAACGCAGCAATGGAACAGAAAAGAGTAACACCAACTTGTATTTTAAACCAATTCTTCAAGAAGAGATCAAAAGAAAAAAGAAATCACGAGAAAAAGAGGAAAAAAAAAGAAAATGGCTCTGATGCCATGACAAGAGAATATTGGGAAAAACCGATTCATCCCCAAATCGTGATGATCGTGAATACTCATTAGCCCCAAAATATATAACCACAATTACATGAAGAATATGGAAACTACCTAATCACAAGATCATAATTATCCCTAGAATATATCCTCTAATAATATACAAGATATGGACATGAATATATACGGCAACAGCATCGCCGATTATTGTTTGTATTGTGGGGAGCGTGTGTTGCGTCGCCGATCATTGACGACATGCATAGCTTTATATGTATGACTGTAGAAGGACAAGCTTCGTTTTTCTTTTGTAATCTCTTAAACTTTTAAGTATGAAGATTCTGTCGAATCAAATGAGGTGGAGATCAATATTTATGAAGGGTTCGGAGGTATGATCGTCTGTGGCAGGTGCAGTAAGTTGATGAATCGAGGAAGTTATGGACCGTCGATTTTATGGGATTAGGGAAGTCACTCACGTGAACCCGACTGTGAAGATCGTAGTAAAAGTAGTATGGTTCCTGTTCAGGTTGATCTTTATCTCAAACAAAACCAAAGTCAACAAATTAATTAAAATTAATTTTCTCTTATCCATTTAGTACTCGTTTGCTTTTTTTTTTTTTT